ACATTTATTTTCTTATAATGTCAATGCCTTGCACATTTTTGTGTTGTAGGAAAGGTACTTGTTCATGGAAATGCAGGGATATCAAGAAGGTATACCAAAATCCATAATCTTCTTTTATTTATGGTTCTAAAAAGATTGTCTTTTAACTGTCTTTATACATTTTTAAAATCATTTGTAAAATAATCTCAAATGGCTTGATTTTATTTTATTTAATAAAATCGAATATCTTTTTCCAGCGCTGCCTTAGTTATTGCCTACCTTATGGAGACATTTGGTGTGAAATACAGGTAATATTATTAGTGGAGAAACCGGTCATGCATGTCCAAAAATATGAATACAAAATAGTATGGTTTGTCTTGAAGTGTGCAGATCCTGTCATTTTATTTCTTTACAGGGATGCCTTTAGTCATGTACAAGAGAGACGATTTTGCATTAATCCCAATGTAGGCTTTGTTCATCAGCTACAGGTATGATTTTAAAGAAATCTCAGCATTAATAATTCATTCAGCATTAAGTGCTGTTTTATATACATGTATATATAATAAAAGGATGTTCTCTCTGTTTTCATGAAGGAATATGAAGCAATATATCTTGCAAAGCTTACCATCAAGATGATGTCACCCATTCAGTTGGGCAGGTCTTTCTCCATCCAAGCTGGGATGCCAGGTAAGAGAACATTTTATGACCAAACGGTTAGTTTGTAAATAGTTTCATCATTTCTAATAGTGATGCGTAGTATATTGGTACTTTATTAGTTGTTATATATATATATATATATATATTTATTTATTTATTTTATTTTATTTTTATTTTTTTTAATGACCAATATGCTTAGATTTCCTTTGCCATCATATAACACTCAGAATTAATATTTAAAAACACTAATTTAATAACACTTAAAATATTTAGCATTTTTCATACTGTACGTTATAGTGTTGTGATGCCTAAATTCACTTGTAGCATTTACAACAACTGTTTTAGTTTTAGTGATTTCTTTTTTGTATTTATCTTCATGAAATAGTGCAGAATTGTATTTTTTTTCTAGCTTGTACTCTTTTAATTTTTGCGTTGTGAATCTGCTTTTGTTCTTGGCTCCATTTGATTAATGGTTATGTTACTCATTTTTTTTTAGTCACTTTAGATAAAAGCATCTGCTAAATTAATAAATGTAAATTTAAATCTGAGGATCAATTACTGGGTTAATTGTACTATAGAAATGAGCTATGTCATTTGTACATTAGTAATGTATGAAACTAGGGTCATTACACATGCTATGGCCATTCCTAATATCATCTTTCTTTCCATACAGGAAGTCTAAAGCGAACACTAGAAGAGGATGAAGATTTCGGGAGTATGCAAGCTACAGCAGCACAAAATGGATAGGCTTTACTAAAAAAAAAAGAAAAAAAAAAGTGCTTAACCACAGTGGACTTTTCTTTTTACATTTTTATTGGGATTAAAAATGTAAATATTTGTACAGGGGTTGGGAGGGAGAGACTGCTCCTTGTGACCCTTGGAGCTGGGGAAGCTTTTCTTTTTCCTTTTTGAGCTGTATGCACTGAAATTTTTTGCAGTTTTATAGTATTTAAAGCATTTTGCATTTGCAGCGGGACAGTATTGCAATAATGCACTTTTGATACTTGAATTACTGTTATTTAGTTGGACGGATTTGGGTTGGAAGGGAGGGGAGGGTATCAAAGAATGGGACTGTCACTGCCGTAGAAATGAAATGGTAGGATGAACCAGTCATGAAAAGCTAGAAATGAGGAAAATCAGTCGTTATGTGGGGAATGAATTCAGACTGAGATAAGGAAAGATGCGTTTGCCATAGGATTAACTTCCCACTGCTCAATAAAAGATGGCTACTTACATTTTGTGTTTTCAGTGTTATCAATCTCTGGTGCAAATATATGACCGTTTATGATAGGACTGTTGGGTGTGGATAGATTTCGAATATTTCCATTTCATTGAAATACAATATAAACTTTTAGATTTTTAATGTAACATTTTTAATCCATTCACCCACTTGTCATTCAGTGGTGTTACATCAATTTTAAAATATAACTGTTAAAAAAGCACAAATAACATCACTGCCACATGTTTGGCTGTTGATTGACAGATGAGACAAAGCATTTGAATGCCGGCTCTCGGTGAAAGTACAAAAATAAAGGCATTTAGCATACAAAGATATGCTTTCATTGCATCAGGATGTATTTCTAAACAATTTATTTTCCTTCATCTAAGTTTTACACATGACTAATAATTATCACCAGTGGCTAAGACTAAAGCCAAAATTGAAAAAATACATGAGCATCATAAATGTAAAACGTTTTCTATGTTGAAGACTAGTACCTGCAAGAGAAACTGAGAATAAAGCACAAAACACCGCATTACCATTTTAAGTAAAAGAGGGAAATGTGCCTCAAACTTTTTTAAATAGTATATTTGGAAACAAAATGGGTTTGAAACAATTTTCCCTCTTCAAAAAAAAACTTGTATAGAAATCTTTACATTAGAAAATATTCAAGTATGTAAGCCCTTCTTCTATAAAACAAAATGTTTTGTCTTTTCTCTTAGACAGGCCACAGCAGGCCCGGATTGGCTAATCGGGAGCACCGGGAAGATTCACCAAATCATATCAGTAACAAATTCTCAATTGATAACTAAAATAGACTGTGATAACTAATCATTATTTTTGCGCAAATCGTTGTTTTATTTGTGAACATAGGCGTTTGCGGAAGGCTTTAAGACCAAGCGGAATTCTCTGCCGGAATTAACTAACTGCACCCTTCACCGTCCGCTTTTTTATTTTACAAAATCAGTTTGGGGAAATGCAAACAACATATTGATCATGAGCCCAACATCCAGCACGACAGGAACACATTTAATCTACCTGAGGGAAGACTTCTTTCATTGTAAGTTAATGCTGCTAAATAGAGAGGGGAAAAAATGCATTACAAAAAAAATAAAAATACTTCTTGCGTAGGCTATTCTTAAACTTGGACATCATTACTGAAGTAATAATCCAAGCACCAGAAGCGGCCCACACTCTCTTAAGATTTCTTTAATTGAAAAGCATGCTTTTTCATTCATTCAAAGGCTATAGTTGCAATAATATTTTAGATCAAAACTTTAAGTGCCATTGTTTAAATTTTTTTTTGATTGACGTTTCATAGACCTTCAGCTGTTAGATTTAGATTTAGTTAGATTTGTAATTTCACAGTATTTTCACCTCCTCAATTACACGTGTGAAGTCACAATTCTATATTGGTACAATTTACTCAGGCCGATGACATTTTTCGTATGACATTTCAAATTCTTTTTAGAATAATTGTACATAAATAGGTTAAGCAAAACAATTGTGATTATTTCTGATATCTTTTTAACTGCAGGCAGACTTAGGCCTACATTATGGTACAGTACACATATTTGGAGCATCCCTTATTCTGTCCCTTATTTTCTTAATGAATAAACACTTGTTTTCTACAAGAATAAACATTATTTTCTTAAAGAATAAGATAAAGAATCACAATTAAAAAACCCTTATTTTCCATTTCTTATGTTAATTGGCAATGATGACGTAATTATATTTTGACACCCCTGACAGCGGAACCTTGCTCAAAAAAAAAGTCATTGTTGGAGATATGCGAGCAAAAAATTATAGATAAAAAAATGTATAATAGAAAGCGCAAAGGCGGCACTGAAAAGGCCAGTAAAAAACAAAGTGGGCCGGTCTAAGACATGAAACTCCAGGGCTGAAAATGAGTCCCACTCCGGCCCTGGGCCCCAGTGTTACTTTTTGTGGCTGACAATATAAACCACACATTCTATTTGTGATCAGATATGATTTCTGTTTCTATAGCAAGTTATGTGAAGTGAAAACACATTTTAGACAGAAAACTGAATAACATTCAAAGCAAGTGCTTGATGTTGACTGCGGACATTTAGAAACGTTCTTGGGGAGTAACTAGTTACATGTAACGGCGCTACGTAATTTAAGTACAAAATAAATGTAACTGTAATCAGTTACAGTTACAAAGAAAAAATGTGTAATTAAATTACAGTTACTTATGAAAATGTTAACGATTACAAAGGGGATTACATTTGAATATTTACACACATCCACATACAGATTTAATTGATTTCTTTCCCAAATTGCACTGACTACTCTGAGACATACGGCCCTATAATATAAATAAAAACATAAAATAATAAAACAGACTGGTTCGTAGAATAAAAACGGAATTCATATAGCCTAACACGGAATATGCCACATTTTGGACGAATAAATCAGAAGTAGGTCGGTACACTTGAATCAAAACGCGATATGGAATAATCAGAGGCGGACAGTAACTAGGCTAAGTACATTTACTTGAGTATTGCACTTAAGTATACTTTTTAAGTATATGTACTTTACTTGAGTATTATTTTTTCTGGGAACTTAAGACTTTAACTTCACTACATTTGAAAGACAAATATTGTACTTTTCACTCCACTACATTTCTATCAAGGTCCTCGAAAGTAGAAAGTTGTTACTATGTGGCAGCTTTGAAAGTCAGTGGGGGTTTTTCTTCTTCTCTAAAACGTGACTTTCTGTTTTTTCAGACAGTTTATCAGTAATCACTCTTGTAGTGATTTCCCAGCATTTTTTGAATGTGAAATTTATTTACAACAATTCAATAATAAGAAGTTAATATTGTGGTTTATATTAGACACAATATTGTCTGATTTTGCTAAAATGTGTACGTGAAAATATTACCTATAAAGCCACAGAAGAACTGTTGTGCGTCTCCTAATAAAACATAAAAGGTGTTTGTCTGAAGCAGCACTGCACAGACCATTCTGTGTGACATCAAAGTACAGCAAGAGCGATTAGACAGCATTTTTTAATTTTTGTTTTGATGTTTAATAAGTCAACAATACTATTACATTTTAAATAGGGTAACTTGTAATCTGTAACCTATTACTTTACCAAAGTAACCTTCCCAACACTGAACGTTCGTGAATATGCACATTGTTCTGTGTTGTAGTGAATTCAAAATGCATATTTCAGAATATTTTGTTGTGACAAAACTTGTCACCGAAGTATCAAGTTTTTCTTATTTTGCTGGCTAAAAAAGGTGCAAGTTGGAGATAGTTCGATCTCAGAAAATAGAACAGATTAAGAGTTCTATAGCAAACATTCTGTGATGTTCAAGATTCAGGCAAAGAACCGGCACTCCATGAAAGTATCTGAAGTGGAGTAGCCAAACTTCTTATAAAACTCCACAGTTTTTGGCGCACACTCCAGCGTTACTTTGTAGCACTGCAACTTTTTGCTGAGGAGAGTCAATGTTGATACCAACCTAAAAACAAAAGCATAATGTTCAAAGTACTTTGTTTTGATACAGATATGTTGAAAGAAAACACAGTATTTGTGAATAAATAATATTTGAAACTTATGATTAAAACTAATATAAAACTGTCTCAAACTCACAGTTTTCCCAGCTGTTTTCCTCTGCATACATCACTCACAACCACTTGTTCCACACGCCCCCTCTTCAGAGACAAAAAAAAAAGGTATATATATATATATATAGCACCATAAAAATACAAAAAATAAGCTCAATTACAAAATACATATTTAAAGTTATAATTAAATATTAAGCCAAACATTAAAATGTTAAGTACCTTTGCACAAGCATGGATAAATTTGTGCTCTATGATGAGTGTTGCTGTGGCAACAATTTGTCCAAGATTTGTGTCTTCCACCACTATGACATAATAGTCTCCAGATTTCTTCATATGTTCAAAATGTGCTAAAAAAAAAGTTTTATTTATTTTTTTAATATATGAAGAAATGTGAGATGTTTTGCATTAGGAACATGCAGTACCTTTGAACTGTTCTTCTGTGACATCCCCAGCCAATGTGAGCTGCGATAAGACCTTATAGAAGCCTAAAAAATCCATAAAGACCCACGCATCCCCCTGCGTTATTATATCCCCTCCCATCACGTTACGTCCTGCCCTCCACCCAATCACTGTTTGCTGTGGTTCGGAACGAGTTCTCAATTGTCCAATCAGAGACTGGTCCGAAGATAAAGGGCGGGGCTTGTCAGAATACGGGTATCTCTCTCTCCTCTCTCAGTCTGCGTGCCTGGACGGTGGTGCGGAGTTTAACGAGGGCGTGGACGTTTGTATGAAAAGCTGTTTAACAGGATAAATATGAAGTTTACAAACTGGTTCTGTGATGTTCGTAGTGTTGATTATGAAAACCGTCTGGTTCCACAGGACTGTCAAGATTGAACTGAGAAGGTGTCTCCCGCTATAGGCCTACTACCGACGTGTTCAAACATTCACAATTAACGGTACTGTAATATTTCTATATTTAAGCCAGTGTGGTCCGGCACCAGAAGACAACACACCACCACAACTTCAATCACAACAGGTCATTTTATTAGGAGAGGGGACTGCAGGACAGGCTAAACGACCTAGAAAGCCCTAGGGCAGTGTGCTACATAAATTCACTTCATTGGTGACCACTTAACTCGCCCCACGGCGACACTGCCCCTCCCGGGTGGATTTAAGGAGGGGGGAGGGTGGATTTAAGGAGCTGGTTCAGCCCGTGGAACATCACTTGTTGCACACCATATCGCGGTTTGATTGAAGTGTACTGAATTGCATTTGATTTATTCATTCAATATTTGACGAATTCCGTGACATTGCTCGTTACACAGTAAACTTCTGTTGTGTAGCATTTTGAATGTACAAAAATGAAAGGGTTTGTTTCATTTTCATTGGAATAAAAGTCAGATTAATGTTTTCGTTCATTTTCGTTTTCGTTTTTTCATTCGATTACCAGCAAATGAAAATAAACAACACAGAATTTCAAAAAAAAAAAAATAAGAAAATCAAATTTAAATTTCATAGGGCCCTCTTTATTGTATACAAATTAAGAAATGAAGTTGTTTTTATGAATTCAATTAATTAGATATGTTTTTGATTAAACCGTTAAAATTGAATACAGAAAAAAAGAAAAGAAAAAAAAAAGAAAGGGCAGAATTTGGGCCCTAAGAATGTAATTTTTTGTTAAACTTTTAATGGGTCTAAATTGTTGTTAAATTAAACAAGTTTCATGATTTGAATTAATTAGACATGTTTTTTGTTAAAACTGAATATATTATTTTGCCTGGGGCCCCCAAATCACTAAATCCGCCCCTGATATCAGCTACAAGTGTATGCACTACTTGCTTTATGCAAGCACTCTAATTAATACCATAACTCCTCCGTTCAATTAGGCCTAAGACATCGAGAGTCACGCAGACCTATAACAACCCAGCCACAACACTTAATTGCGAATAACATGCCTTACCTTAACACAGAATCGACCAGAGTTCAACGTTTATATTTTTTCTACGAATCTTTGAGTTAACATGTACTAAACATGAGTGCCCCCACACCTTGATGCTCATGACAAGAATAGCATGTATAGTTATCTTTATTGAAGTGAATTAGGTTTAAATCGCCGTCATGCATGAATGAATGATATTTTTGCAATTTTACACATAATAATCCACGATGATCACATTACACAACTGAAATTGCACGTCAAGATAACACATTGTCAATATTTTGAGACCCCCCCAAAATTTCACAAATCATGTTTTCAGGGGAGCCCATGGCCTATTAAGGGGAGCCGAGCTCCCCCGTAGTTCGCACCCTGGGCACACACAATAAAGAACGACGGCACCCCTAACTCCCCGTCCCTACTTACTCTCACCCCATCCCCCCTAACTATCTATCTATCTATCTATCTATCTATCTATCTATCTATCTATCTATCTATCTATCTATCTATCTTCATCACCCCAAACGACACCCACCCCTCCCTACCTACCTCCCTACCTCCCTACCTACCTCCCTCCCTACCTCCCTACCTACCTCCCTCCCAACAATATCTGAATACCGCCGTCCTATTTCGGCTTGTAAATCGACCGTCAGCCAGCCCGCATTCATTCTCTTTTGCACTCTTTTTAATCCTTCTCACTCCAGTCTCTGAATACACAGATCACACCCCGGTGTTCCTCGTTCCCCAATCAGTCTTATTAATTAATTGTCAGTACGATATTCCAAACACCACACACATCACAGTACTATGGTAAATAATTTCTGGCAAAATACCACAGTTACTACAGCTATTGTTACCACAGTAACATAATGACTACCTCCCTACCTACCTCCCTACCTACCTACCTACCTACCTCCCTCCCAACAATATCTGAATACCGCCGTCCTATTTCGGCTTGTAAATCGACCGTCAGCCAGCCCGCATTCATTCTCTTTTGCACTCTTTTTAATCCTTCTCACTCCAGTCTCTGAATACACAGATCACACCCCGGTGTTCCTCGTTCCCCAATCAGTCTTATTAATTAATTGTCAGTACGATATTCCAAACACCACACACATCACAGTACTATGGTAAATAATTTCTGGCAAAATACCACAGTTACTACAGCTATTGTTACCACAGTAACATAATGACTACGCGACAAACTGATATGGAATGTCTGGAAACAATGCAATTTATTTTTAATTTAAATAATTAAAATGATTTTGATGTGTTTTTTATTTTATTTACGCATGTTAGCGTGATTTCTTGGCTACAATATAATGAATGAATTGCAATTTATATGTTGCTTGAAGAAAATAAATATTTAGTCAGAATACACAGCTAATTTTGAACTGATGTTAGAGAGAAAGATGATTTGGTCTAGTTACTATCTAGTAGTTTTAAATGACTGCTTTCTAGTAACCTGTCAGCAGGGCTTAACTAATAAGTCATGCTAACAGCACAACCTTGACCCCTTAGTTTCTTGTCTTGACTTCTTCTAAGGACAGGCTGTGCAAAATGCATGCTCAAACATACTCAGCAGCAGTTACTGGAATTCATTTCTCTTCCTTCTTGTATTGATTTTCTCAAGCATCTAAACAAAAAATTAATCATCTTTTCAAATGTTTTTAAGTAACTTTCAATAGATATCTGCCGGATGTGAGTGTACAGAAAGGACTAACAAGACATTTGAGAAGGAAACACCTTCCATTGATCCCAAGTCTCCCAAGTACTTGCACTGTAAGCATTCTAATATCAAATATTATAATATCAAAACAGACCACAGCAAAAAAAGAGAGAGAAATTAAGCTTAAAATCCAATTTAAGATTTTAATTATTATTGTTATTTTTATAGTTAATTTCTCTATTTTAAGAATGCCCTCCCCGACATTTAAAAATTTAATTTGCAAACAAATGAGCAAAAAAGGCTTAATGGTGTGGCTTGTCAATATGGTGCACACATTTAATGAAAAAATAATGATGGTATAGACAAAGTTCTTGTGACAACAGTAATTCCATAATGCGTCTCCTATTACTGCTTAAAAATGCTGCAGGCATCCTTAATAAGCTCAATAACTTGCATGAAAAGGGAAGCAGAGACACAGCAGGGATTGAATGAAGCTTGCGGGAAATAGTGAGGCTGAGAGCACAAGAAATGCCTGCAGAAAGCTGATATACTAGTTCACATGACTAAACCATGGATCATTGCATTGAGTGGAAGATACAAATCATGGAAATACAGTCCGTTTGTCTTTAATGACTGTACATGGACAGAAAATGAGAGCAAATATTGGCCTTATCATAAATATATACAGTCGTGGTCAGAATTATTGGCACCCTTGGTAAATATGATCAAAGAAGGCTGTGAAAATCTGCATTGTTAATCATTTTGACCTTTTATTTAAAAAATTCACATAAATCTAACCTTTCATTGGAGAATAAGAATTTAAAATGGGGGGAAATATCATTATGACATAAATGTGTTCTCTAATACACATTGGACACAATTAACAGCACCCTTTTATTCAATGCTTTTTGAAACCTCCATTTGGCATAATAACAGCTCTGAGTTTTCTCCTATAATGCCTGATGAGGTTAGAGAGCACCTGACAAGAGATCGGAGACAATTCCTTCATCCAGAATCTCTCCAGACCCTTCAGATTCCCAGCTCCATGCTGGTGCTTCTCCTCTTCAGTTCACCACACTCATTTTCTATAGGGTTCAGGTCAGGGATCTGGAATGGTCATAGCAGCAGCTTGGTTTTGTGCCCAGTGACCCATTTTTGTGTTGTTTTTAAGATTTGAATAGGATGATATAGACACACGTCCTCTTGTGTCCAACGTGTATTTCAGAAAAACATTTATTTCATAATGAGATTTCCCCCCATTTTCAGTTGTTTTAGTTCAATGAAAGGTTAGATATTTGTGATTTAAAAAAAAAATAAAAGATCAAAATGATTAACAATGCAGATTTATTTTCAAAGCCTTCTTTGATCATATTTACCAAGGGTGCCAATAATATATATATATATATATATATATATATATATGTAATTTTAATATACAAGATCATGTTTATTAAAGCAGACCAATATAGGATTCTTGCCCAGTTTAATGTGTGTACATAAAATAATTAATATGATGCTATATTTGAGTAAACTGAAATGTTTAAGGACAAATTGCTCATGAAACTAGAAGCAATTAATCAAAGAACCAAAAATATTCATAATATATAATGCCGGGTTTATGGAAAACTCGATTAGGAGGCAAGCTAGAGAGGGAATAACACAGTATATTTTAAATTAATTCAATTAAAACTAATTAAGTACCTCAAACTAATTCAGTAATTAAAATACCCATGTAAGTTATTTCATACATTTACAATACAGAACTGCAAATAAGTAAATAAATGCATAAAAATAACCTAGCTTTGTTTTGATTGGGTATTTTTAATGTGTTGTGGTGTTCAATGTGGTTGCATACAGGCTAAAGTCAAAAGTGCAAAATCTCTGTGATATTCAATACCAACATTGTTTGACTTCAAACAGGTTTTCAGAACAC